TATAATTTGATTAAGCCAAAACCAAAGCTCCCTTTGGTTTAACTTACACTCAGGATTGACAGTCTAAATCTTACAATAGTTTGTCTTCTAAACACCAAACTTCCAAGATTCCTACACAAACAACTATATTCAACCCATCACTGTTACTTGCCACCAACCAAAATTAGCAGGAGCCATCACCTCAAGGGGCCTGCAAAGGCAATCTCCATTAGCCCTCCCCTACTCTGAATTCATTTTTTTTTTTGGGGGGGGGGAAAGAGACTATAGTCATTCAATAAACACTGAGAGCCTACCGTGCACCAGACTCTACTTAGAACCAATGCAAGAGACCTAATCCCAGACCCTATTTCTGCCCAATAACCCAAGTTCATTTCTCTGACACGAAGTTTCTGCTGTTAGGTAAAATATATTTCTCCAGTATAAACAGATTGCTCTTCGTATTGACTAAACATCACATTACAAGAAGACGATTTTTTTCCCAGGCCATATATCACAGTGTAACAGCACTAGTCAGGGACCTTGGATTCTTCCCCCAGCCTTGCCATTTAATTTCCCCTAATGAAGTAACAAACCAAGTAACTTCCCTATTTAAAAAGAAAAGAAAGTAAACTATAATCTGTAAAGGACATAGTATTCTAAATATTATGGAAATTAGTCTACCATAACTTCCTCTCTGCTAAATCACTTTCATTACTCTTAACATGATCACCTCCTAATGGGACTAAGAATCAAATAAATGCATTAGTTAGAAATGGATTTCTATAATTAACATGGGTAAATTCATATTCTTAGGGAAAAAAAAAAGGAAGGAGCCTAATCATAAAATAGTGTTTTAATACTAGAAGATCCCTTAGATGACCTTCTAGTCTAACTTGTCTGTTTTATATATAAAGGAACTAAAATCCAATGAGATTATGTAACTTGCTCAGTTGAAGAACCAGGAGTAGAAACCAAGTTCCTGTTATGTCAACCACCAATTCTCAATAATAAAAAGCAAACAAGTTCACAGAACATAAACATTCTCAGACCTACAGAAGATAAAGGCGTCAAGGTGGTACTGAGACGCAGTTTCTCCACAAAAAGAAAACTACTTGAAGTTTTTAGTTTGAATAGTCAAGTGAGCAAGATACTTTAGCAAATATCTTTTAAACAAATAATTATTTCTGAAACATGGGAAATAACTCTTATATTTGATACAGATTTATGGTATGTATATACAGTCATAGCCTGCTCTCAACTATATGGTTTAGTCTACTCTTATGTACTTTATTATTTCATTATTTTTATTTTTAAAATTTTTCAAATTTTAAAAGATTTTATTTTTAAATTCAGCCAGTATGGGGCTCGAACTCACAACCCTGAGATCCAGAGCTGCATGCACCACTGACTGAGCCAGCCAGGAGCCCCCCTAGGTAATCTATTAAATGGCAAGTTCTCTGTAATGGTTTTTCTTGGTGAGAAGAACTTAATTTGGGAGCACAAAATCCAAAAAAAACTTTACTGACACAAGTGAAAATATATGTTACAGTTCTCACAGTAAAACTATAGATAATCTAAAGCACAATTAAAAAATAATTTTATTAAACTATAATCAGATGCATTTTAATAGGATGTGTGAAAATTCAAAATTCCACTTATTCTGGAGAGTTCTGATTCTGAAAAACAATATAACATCCATATGTAAATACTAACAACTAAAAAATAATAGGTATTTAAGGACAGTTGTGTGATTGGAATGGGTGTCTTAAAGCACCTAATATACATTGCTTTTAATGGTGTTATTTCTACTTTCAAAACATAATGGTCACATTTTCTGAATTTCAGATAACAGTCTTGAGAATCTATCAGATGCTACGTATAATTTCTATGCAGGACACGATAAACGACATGAACAGGCCTATGGGTCAAAGACCTTACCTTAGTCTTACGCGGCTACAATCGCAATCGAGGCTATCCCATCAACACTACAGAATGTAAGGCAATGAGCACATAAAGTGAAACTAGTTCTCCCTCAAACAGCCAGAAAGATGGCATGGAAAGCCCAGGTAATAATTACAATGACAATGTAATAAATGCTAGGGATCTTGATAAATTTGCTGGAATGCACATAAAAGGGCAATCACTCCTCCCAAGGGCGACAGGTGCAGAAAGAAAACCAAGGAGGCATGAGAATACAAATATATAGCATGTTAAGAGAGCTGAATGACCGATGGAGTGACTTGAAACACTGGACTGGGGCCAGATTATGAGGGCTCTGATGGGAAAGAAGAAAACCAGTATGAGGGGTCGGGGTTGTCACGGCTAGGATGTTTGCATGAAAGAGCTCACTTAATTCTTTCCACTGCCTGGGAAGTATAGAGTACTGACTCTCAATTCACATATCAGATAAACTGAGCTCAGCAAAGGAACTTGAGAGAAGTAACTTGCTCAAGATTTTACACAAGGAGTAAGTGGGAGAGCTGCGATGTCCAATCCGGCACATCTGACGGCAAAGCCTCTGCGTTCCCACTATTCCAGACATCTCTGCTGCAATCTTGAATGAGGCTGGTTTTACTTTGAAGGAAGTGAGGATTTAAAAGATTTTAAAAGGAAGCCTGGCACGGTTGAACTTGCGTTTTGGAAGAATAACTTCTAACCACATTGCATGGGATGCTTTGAAGTGGACAGGAAGGCTAGTTAGAGAAATACTGGAACAACCTAGGCAGGGAAAGATCGGAGTTTAGGGGCGCCTGGGGGGCTCAGTCGGGCAAGCGTCTGCCTTCGGCTCAAGCATGATATCGGGGTCCCAGGATTGAGCCTGGTGTCAGGCTCCCTGCTCAGCGGTGAGTCTGCTTTTCCCTCTCTCTTTGCCCTTCCCCCCATTTGTGCTCTAGCGCACTCTCTCTCTCTCTCTCAAATAAATAAATAAATAACATCTTAGAGTTTAGACTGACCTGACAGCAGGAGTAGAGAAGATGGGGTGAATGAATGATTTACACAGGACTTCGAACTAATAGGACCTGGTGTTGAGGATGAAGAAAGGATGAGATAAGAGGAAGGATGAGAAAAGAGGAAGACTGGATGACCAGGTGGATGGAAATGCCATTAATGGAGATGGGAGCCCAGCAAAGGAGGAGACCAGAAGAGATGAGAGCTCAGAACATGATCCATTTTCTCTGAGTCTTAGAAGTCACTAGGAGACGTGGCTCTAGCAAGATCAGGAGAGTAATATGGGCTGCAAATAGAGAGCTGGGAAACAAAAGATGTTAACTGTAGCTGAAGCCATAGGAGGACAAGGAAGCCCAGAGGGAGCCTGAGGAAGGCTGAGCTGCGCACAGTAAACAAGATTAAAAAGCACGAGGGGAGAGCAGTGTGCTGGGGCTCCAGGGAGCGGGTCAGTTCGTGAAATAATGGGAGCCCAAAGCAGTTATGAGCCACTGAAAGGTCAAATAAAACAACTGAAAATAAGCCACTGGCTTTAAAAATTAGTTGGCTGCTGGTGACATTTATAAGACAAGTTTTAACAATAGTGAGGTAAAAAAAGAAAAGAGAAAGAACTAAACAGAAATGAAGAATTGTAGAGAGTGCAAATAAATTTGGCATTGGTGGCAAAAGGAAAAGGGTAACAAGATGTTATGTGAAGAATATTGCAATTTATAAAGCACAATGACTAAAAGAGTCGTTTCCTCTCTTGAATTTCTGAAGCTCTGCTACCGTCTAATGAAAGACATATTTACAAAATGCGGAGTTTACTGAAATAAAGATTGATGTTCCAAGAAGTCTATGTTTGAGAAAGCTTCAGGACTCTAAAAAGCCATTGGTAATACTTTATAACTTGAAAAGGAAAGAGAAATATGTTCTCATTCAGGTGATGGCTGAATTAACATTCATACTGTCTTTCAATACACTTCCATAACTCAGGAGGCCATATCGAAAACCAAAAAGAATGAGCCTGGATGAGAAATGTTTGGGGAAAACTAATGATTCGGTAATGCTACTTCTCTTCTGAATTAACATGAGTCATTCCGGATGACTACACTATTTTCCACAACGGCAGAAGGGTCAACTTAAACTTCTCCATCTAATTATAATCATAACCAATGGAACTCAACAAAAACAGCGTAACAATTATGACACAGAAATTTATCTGTCTCCACTCAGATATCATTCAGAATCACACATTTTTTAAAAAACTAATGGTCAACCCTCAATTAATGAGTGCAACTATAATTAAGTAAATCCCACAAAGGCTACACTGTAAATATGAACAACATAAGTGTGAAGGCTATTAGATCACTAACTATATAAGTGACTCTGAATTAAGATACTTTCAGTCCCAAATAGTTCTCTAAAAACACATTGCTAAATTAAAATAAGGCAGAAGTTATTATACACAGAATTTTAAATATCTGATATCTGTATTTCATAGTATCTTATCTCTCAGAACTTAATTCCAAGACGCTTTAAGGTCATTTATATGTGCTAACTACTTTCAGATACTAGTTATTTCATAAACTAATACATGTTTTGTTTTGTTTTTAAAGATCAACACAATACAAAATCATACACACACACACACACACACACACACACACACACACACACACGGGCTGGCTATCGCAAGCTGGCTATAAAATACCAATTTTAAAAACATCATTCTTCAGAGGCTTAACTTCAGACAAATTGTTTCCAAATCTAATCTAAATTTTGTTTAGTTAGTTCATAAAACTACAGATAAAATTTCATCATAAAAATACAAAATTAATTCTACCTTCTGGACCAAAAGAGGACATTCACTAAAAATTCTCTAAAATATTTCAAAGCTGAAAAAGGAGTGAGTATAATATGGATTCTCTTTCAAGAACATAATGAAAATGTAATTAAGTAAACACTGGATTTTTTTACCCAAAAAGTCAATTTTACTACATTTAGAGTTTAAGATATTCTTTTACCGACTTTCATGTACGAAAACTTAAATCAGATTTAACTAATTATTAAGCTAATCTTTGAGAGCTACTTACAATCCAGAAGGCAGATTCCCGGCTGCAGCAATACCAAAGAAATACCACACGGCCTCAACGAGAATGAAGTCAACCAAAACCGACAAAACCCAGGAACCCAGCAAAAAGGACTAAAAATAAAACAGGAAGAACATTACTGAAAGGAATCTTCAAAAAATAAACTAACATTTATTTAATTAAAAGGAACTCAGGTACATTTTTTTAATTTGTTTTTATTAGTAGCACAGGGTTTTCAAAATAGGGGAGTAAAGCCATATTGGTCAAATGCATTAATATTTTCATAATTTCTAAGTATGGTAAAAACAAAAGACATTTATAGCATGATTTATTTTTAACAAGTAACACACAAATCATTAAGCACAATAAGCAATTAAAATTTTATTGAAGTAAAAATCCTAATAAAAATTTTTATTAGCCACTCACACCTGATATTTTCTATTATCATTATCATTTTATTATGCAAGTGGCTCAAACTGAAAATTTTTCTTTGGCTAATATGCATGCTTCAAATCAGACAGAGGATCATGTAATTAGAAGATAACTGTTAATAATAACACTAAGCTTAGCAAAATAAAACTATTTAAAAATAAGAAAACAAAAATACTTTTTTCCATAACCTAAGCAGCAAAAGGAAAATACATAAAAACTTACTGCAAATTTTCTGCTTCCATATCTTCTTTCAAATATCCTAAAATTATAAATAAGCAGACTACTGCAGAAAGTATCTTTCAAATCAAGGCAAATTATTCTTCCACATATCAACCTCCAAATCTAAATGGGGATTTAAAAAAGAATAATGAGTAGGATTTGTTCAGATTTCTGCCTTAGCAAATTTATTACATTTATGTCATACTGCTTAATCTTAATACCCTAATTTGATAAATTAATGACATGCACCATGTAGGCAGGTCCCCACCTTACAGCACAGGTGCCCATACAGCAGCACATTAGAAGCGGACCCCGCCTATGTGGCAGCTAAACCAAATCAATCCCCCAAATCAGACAGGTACCAACTTAGGGCCAAAGGGCCTTCTGTTCCCTCACAGCAGTGGTTCTCAGGGTTGGCTGCAGACTAGAATCCCCTGGGTTTTTTTGTTTTAAAGTACACCAGTGTTTAGGCCTACCATGAGATTTTTCAACTCGACTGGTCTAGGGTGAGGTCTTGGCATCAGCGTGTGTGTGTGTGTGTGTGTGTGTGTGTGTGTGTGTTTAGTTTATTAAGGTGATTCTAATGTGCAGCCAGGGTCCAGAAGTGCATTATAGCAACTGAAATGAGAGGGAAGCAATATTCTATTCTGACAGAAAGCAGTAATTTGGATAAATAACTGAAAGCCTTTCAGAGGAACTTGATAAAGCCAATATGAGCAAAGGCATTAATTACATCACCATGAAGAAAAGATGTCAGTGTTCCAGAAGTAGAATATTATGCTTAAAATGGCTAATTGAGTATTTAGCAAAGGAAAGGTAGCAGGTTATATACCATAATTTGCACTAACACCCTGTGATATTGTGACTTATAATAAGAAATACAGATTTGGTTTTCACTCATTTCTGGTACAGAGCTCTTAAAATCCTTTGAATTCCCTAACTGATGAAAGCCAGGAAGGTGTCTTTTGTGTGTGTCAATATGTGACTTTTAGATACACCTAAGAGCGGGGGCTGGTTGCCAGGGGAACCAACCTTGGGATTAGAGGGTTGGAACTTTCAGTCCCACCCTCTGACCTACCTACGAGGGAACAGGGAGGGGCTGGAGGTTGGATCAGCTGCCAATGGCCAATGATTTCATGAAGCCTCCATTAACATCCAGAAGGCCAGGGTTCAGGGAGCTCCCAGGCTGGTGAGCCCAAGGCACCTCAGAGAGACCATGGAAGCTCTGTGTCCTCCTCTTCCATCTGGACATTCATCTGTGTCCTTTATCCCACCCTTTGATGATAAACAGGTAATCCAGCAGGTAAAATGTTTCTCTGAGTTCTGAAAGTCACCCTAGCAAATTCATCAAACCTAAGGAGGGGGTCATGGGAAGCTCAGATTTAAAGCCAATCAGTCCTAAGTACCAGAACAACCTGGACCTGCAACTGGCATCTCATATCTGAGGGGGAGAGCATGGTAATCTCTAATCTGGGGCTAACAGGCCGGAAGCACAGGTAGTGACCTTGGCTTTGCAACTAGCATGTGGGCGGGGCAGGCAGCCTTGTGGGACAGAAGCCTTCACCTGTGGGATCCGATGCTGCCGCCAGGTGGACGGCGTCAGGACTTAGTTGAACTGTAGAGCACCCAGCTGGTCCCCAGGAATTGCCTGGTGGTGTGGGGACAGCCCCATGCTAGAGCTGGTGCCAGAACATCCCTTTAAGCTCCACTCACAGCCAAAACCCAGCACCAGCATCTTCAAAGAGATTAGCCATAAGCTCAAAAGCCACAGAGTTCTGCTCTTCCCAGAAATAAAAACCTAAGGGAAATTTCCTACTTGATATAACCGCCACTACAAAGTAACTCATGGAGTCACAGTCTGTTAGTGCTGGAAGAGCTTAGATCATCTAATCAATACTCAGATTGGGAATATAAAGTTTAAAAATGCAAAGCACAAAATTGCTTTCAAAAACGTTAAGAATGCACACTAATCATAATTAAAACAGATTTAACACTGCTTTTCTTTTGAAGCTGTAAACTGCATTTCTGTGAGTAAGAAGTGAATGTGAGATGTGCCTACCAGTAAAAGGAAACACTGCAACTGCTTCATTACAACAGGCTTTCCTGCAAATATTAATAAATACAACTAGAAAATTCACTTGCTGATGGAGTATTAAAAATAAATAATATTTCTTAAAAATTTAGAGGCTTTGAGGGACGAAGAAGAGCAGGAAAGAAAGAAGAACAGCAGAAGAAAAAAATAACCCACCAAGAAAAGATTCTGTCTTTCTTCTCACAAAGGCCCATTAGCAGAGCTCACCTGGAAGTCGTCCTTAACAGCTTGGAGGTCATACACGAAGAACCTCTGGCAGTGCGGCAGGAGGAGGGCTAGCAAAAGGGACAGGGCACTGGGCACCAGCAGAAGACCCTTGGACAGAGGTGCCTTATCTAGAGGGAAAAAGAAAACGTCTTTCAGAATGACTGATTCTAAGATTTAAAAAACCACTTGGGTGAAAAGCAAGAGAATTCACTTCCTTTGGATTAGAATGAAGACAACGTTCACAAACTACAGAATTTAATTCGTATTAGTGTCTATCTCCAAAACCTCCACCTGCAGAGGGGAGTGATCAAGAGCACTGGAAAACAAGTGGAACTTGCTGGCAGGGGTTCATGGTCATTTGGCTCTCATGAAACCAAACCAAGTTTACAGCCAGGAACTTTCACAGAATACTTTTCAGAAATGGTCACCAAAGTTGGAGAAATAGAGGACTAGGTTTCCTACCAAACTGAGTTAGTTCCTGAGCACGCATGAGATTCGCACACATAAACATTTTTTCAAAAAAATTTAAAAAGCAGTTAGAAGTGCCAGCTGTGCTGCCTGCAGTGGCATACCGAGATTTTGTACGAGGGCCACCGCTGGGGCCCAAGTCGGCTTTCCATTGGAGAACCTTGTCTAAGTCTCATGCAGCCTCCAAGCTCCAGCTTAGTTTCCGCTTCCCTCCATCAATCTCAGTGAACCATTTTCGCCCCACGGGCTTTGCTCCCACTCCGCACCCTTGTTTCCATACCATTTGAATAGTCAGGGTTTCATACTACGTTTGTCTTCCTGACCACACTGAAAATGCCTGAGAGGAGATCACCTTCCTTCTCTTCTCTACAGTGGCCATAGAGCCCAGTGCAGATCCCCACACATATGAAATGTTCAAATCATCAACAGGTAAGACCACAGGAAAGAATCACCAGTGGCAACATTCTCAGATCGTGTGAAGTACACTTTAATTGTATTCACAAGAAATTCCCTGGGAGTGAATTCACTAGTTACAGTTGGTAATGTGGTTATTGCACCCGTTTTAAGTATATAAAAATAGACCAACTGTTTCCTCTCTGGTAAGGTCTTGCAAACATCTACATGGAACCACTAGTAAGGTAGCTGCATACCGTCTTCATGACTCAGATGCAACCAAGGCTCCAGGGAATCTAAAAACTAAGAGGGCTCCTCGTAGCCTAGCCCCTCAGAAGTACAGGAGAGCACCGGGGCTGTGAGCTTGACCAACCTAAATTCTATCCTGAAGCTCCTGTTCTGCTCACCTGTAAAACAAAGGGAAGAGAGGCTACCTCAAAAGTGTACGAGAAGCAAAAGAAAGAATGCCTACAGGGGAGTCAGCTCCTGCCACCGCTCACACCAGCCAGGAGGAAGGGCTTCCTTCGGGACAGGCGAGCTCCTGGATCTTTCCGACAGGGTGGAAGTTGGAGCAGGGGTGACACAGCTGCGCCCTGAAGGGGCAGCGAGGATCCCATTTCCTTCTTCAACCTGGGCTTCCACCTCATCTTGTGAAATGGGCCCCGACGTTCATTCCTGCCTCTGCCCTGCCAGCTCTGGGGCAAATGGATGTTACTGGAAGAAGTCACAGAGCTGAGCTGCTAGATCTCCTGCAGGTTCATGGTCTCAAATCTCAGCGGACGCTCCCCACCGACCAGCAATTCTACTGCTTTTCTCCCACTTCTCATTTCACACCATCTCCTCCTCACTCCTTCACCCTCCCTGCTCCACACTCCCAGCTTGGCTTACACGTCGCCAAGAGAAGAAGCGAATGCTTGGCTGGGGTCATTCCCCATCATTCCCGAAAATGAATAAGCACTTCTGATAGACCACACATTATCCCATGCCCCTGGGGTACAGCATTAATGATGGACAAAGCCCCCCTCCTTTGTGGTCTAGAAAGGAGAGAAAAGAAAATACACAAGACTAGGTTAAATATGTATTGCGTCAGAGGAAATAAATGCTAGAGAAAAATTAAGCAGGATAAAAAGCGTGGCTGTGCTAGCCACCAGGGAGTCCCTGTTCTCTTTCCAGACCCGTGATAAGATTGCTGAGCCATCCATACCGCCCCTAGCTGACGTTAGGTATGACAGCATGACTTGCTTTGGCCAAGTCAGTGTGACAGATGTCACTTCCAGGGAGATAGCTGAAAAGCAGTGGATAGCGTTTCCCTCTGCCGGTGCTCATGGTGGGAGCTGGGCGAGCGGATCCCAGAGGTGAAGACAATGTGGAGTAGAGCGCCCAGGGAACTGGCAACAGAGGGCTCCCCAGTGAGAAACAGACCTTGTGGTTTTAGCCCCAATACTTTGCAGCTGTGTGCTACTGCAGCATGACCTAACCCACCCTAACGTACGGGAAAACACAGTGCTGGTGGGAAAGAGGGGTGCCATTTTACACAGGGTGACTGGAAGGCCCTTCTGATATGTAAGACTTGCGAAGGGACCTGAGAAATGGGCCCTGCAGACAGCTGGGAACTGTCCTTCCGGCAGAGGAAAGAGCGAGCACAAATGCTCTGAGACAGGAACGTGCTCGATATGATCAGGAAGCAGCCAGACTGCCAGAGGCAGTGAGGAGCAAAACCAGCACGAGGCGGACAGGTGGGACAGAAGGTCAGAGAAGCGGGGGCGCGGACGGAGCCGAGCCCTATAGGCAAACACGGACATTACCCTTCCCTATAAAAGTGACAGGATGCTTTGGGGGGATCTAAGGAGAGGAATAACACGATCAGACATGTTTTCAAGAACCACTTCGAAGGCCTGCTACATGGAGACGAGATTACGGGAAGGCACGTATAGAAGAAAGGGGACCCGTTAGGAGGCTATCATGGGCAAAGGGAAAAGTCAAAGATGACTCCAAAGTTTTGTTCTGAGCAAAACTGGAAACACTGCTGCCAGGGACTAAGATGGAAAATCCATCACCCTCGCCCTTCCCATGCATACAAGATCCGGGCCCATCTTGCAAAATACTCCCAACCCCCTTCCCTATCCCCACTGTTAGGGCTCTACCCTCTCCGCAGACTGCTAGCAGCCCACACTGAGGTACAGAGTTTGCACCAGAACGTGAACCAGCACACTGCATCTTTCAGGGAGGAAGTCCTGCTCTGAAAAAAAAAAAAGAATCAACCAAACTGAACATGTGCTTTGCTCAAATGTCACCTTATTTGTGACCACCCCATGTAACTAACTTTGGATTACCTTTTTTCATAGCACTTATCAGCAACTGACTTATTAAATAGTGACTCATCAAATCTATGATTCAAAATGACTGTAAGATATATCATTATTTTAGGTGTCACTAAAAAAGAAACACTGCCTTATAAAATCCTAAGATGTTGTTAATTATAAAGGACACCCAATTTTAGAAACACTAAAATGTGAAAAATGCAATTCAGAATCAAGAAATGTGTTTCTTCGTGGATCGCTTCTTGAAGGCAGCAACTCTATCTGGGATACTCACAGCCACAGAGTCTCCCATGCTGAGAACAGAATCCGGCCCATATGGCACTCAGTAAGTGTGTAATGGAAGGCGACTGAGGTATGAACACCAGTGGAAGCCACCGCAGTGTCCATCCATGGATGGCCAGATAAACAAAATGTGAAATACACATTTAGTGGAATAGTATTCTGTCTTAAAAAGGAAGGAAATTCTGGCACATGCTACACTATGGATTGTATTTCAGATACACCTTTCAGACATTATCCTGAGTGAAACAAGCCAGACACAAAAAGATAAATACCATATGACTCCACTACATGAAGTACCTAAGTAGTCACACTCATAGAGACAGGAAGTAGAATGGTGGTGGTCAGGGGATGGGGGAGGAAGGAATAGGGTGCTGTTCAATGGGTACAGGGTTTCAGTTTTGCAAGATGAAAAGAGTTCTAGAGATGCACGACAGTGTGAATGTACTTAATGCCACAGACCTGTACACTGAAGAATGGTTGAAATGTCGATTTTAGGTTATGTACATTTTACCACGATTAAAAATCAAGACTAAAAAGAAATAAAATAATTACTGAATGAATAACTGATCCTATTTATACAACCATTTTAATTCCATCCAGGCCTAAACAAACCCCTAAAAACACAGATCTGATAACTTAAATCAGATAACTCTACCATTAAGTCCTCTTTTTTTTTTTAAGTCCTCTTCTTAAGATGAGCAAAAATCAGATCTCCAAAGTCTATGCAGAAAGTGACAATATACAAATGTCCAAGAAGTCCCACACCACAGGCTAAGTACACAGTATTACTATGAACAGCAAGACTTACTGATCAACTCATGATCTGTAAATGTCACTAAATGAAAATTTTACTGAAAAAAAAGGAACTTAAACAATTACAATTATTAAATTCTCATTAATAATATATATACTTGTGTGTTTAGAGATAAAGTGGCTACAAATTTTTTTGAAATGCATCAAAAAGTAAGATATATTGGGACCCTTGGCTGGCTCAGTGAGTTGAGCATCCAACTCTTGATCTCAGCTCAGGTCTTGATATCAGGGTCATGAGTTAATAAGGCCCTTGTAGGCCTCCACACTGGGCGTGGAGCCTACTTAAAAAAACAGAAAAAAGGATTGATGAAATAAATAGAGGGATGGCTATGTGATTCAGAAAATATAAGAAAATGTTAACTGTAGAATCTCAGTGGTAGGTATATGATATTCACTATACCATTCTTTCAAGTTTAAGCATGTTTGAAAATGTTCATAATAAAACGGGGAGGGGGTACAGAGTGAATCACAGTATTTGAAAGCTGAGAAAGAACTTCAAAATACACGAAGCAAAAACTGACAGAACTAAAAAGAGAAACCAATAAATCCACAAATACAGTTGCATACTTCAGCACTCCTGTCAGTAATCAATAATATAAGTAGACAGAAAATCAGTGTTATGGACTGAACTGTGTTCCCCCAAAATTCATGCACCCAACCCTCAATGTGACTATATGTGGAAATGGAGGCTTTAAACAGGTAAAGCTAAGTGAAGTCATAAAGGTAGGGACCTAACCCAATCTGTCCATATAAGAAGAAGAGACACCAGCGATGCACGTAGAAAAGACCATATGAACACATGGAGACAGCCACCCACATGTCAAGGAAGGAGGCCTCAGGAAAAACTTGCC